CATATATATCTTAAGTCCTCTCCAGATTACTTATTATAATATCCAATGCAATGTAAATGTTATGCAAATCATCATTATACTGTGTTTAGGGAATAATGACATGAAATAGTCTGTACATGTTCAGTATAGTTTTTTTTTGTTTGTTTGTTTGCTTTTTTTTTGTTACAGGGATTGAACCCAGGGGTGGTTAACCACTATGCCATATCCCCAGCCCTTTTTATATTTTATTTAGAGACAGAGTCTCACTAAATTGGGGCCTCACTAAATTGCTGAGGCTGGCTTTGAATTGGTGATCACCTGGCTCGGCACCATTTTTGCAAAAGTTTTCAATCAGTGTTTGAATCCACATATGTAGAAACTACAGATACAGAGGGCCAACTCTATTGGGTTAGGAAAAACTTCAGTTACCTCCAGATTTTATCCCACCTCATGGTACCTACATAGTGAGAGTTCAATAAGATTATGTTTAAGATTACAAGAGTTAGCTTTTTAATTATAATAAACAATTGTCCTTACTTGACATTTCATTGGGCTAATAACTATACAAACAATTCCAGTCTTCACAACAACCCTGCACAGTTTGAAGGTTTGTTTCAGTTCCTGCCATTCTCTACTCTGTGGCTCAGGGCTAGAAGTCTGGGAACTACATCCCTTTTGTTGGCAAGCATCCTAATAAGTTCTGCTAATATGGGGCCACCAGAGGGCAGCAAGAGGAAAGAAGGGGTTTGTTTGTCCCAATTTTCTTGCCAGTTCTTCTAGATGGCTCCAATTAGATGGCTCCAATTTCCAACTTCCATATTCCCAGCACAGCTTGGTGGGGGCCCATTCTTACATGTCCCAGCTCTAGCTCCGTGAAACCCCTCCTCCAAGCTCCCAAGGTAGCCAAAGCCCCACCAACCCTCTCCACTCAACTTTCAGTTTCTTAGGATAGTTGGTTATACCATTAACCTGTGATGAATCATGCCCCCTGATATCTGCCTACCCCCCCCCCCCGTTGTCCCCTGCACAAGCACCCTGTATGAGGCCAGGAAACTGCTTTGCCTGAGAGACAGACACAAACGAACAAGCAGAGTCTTCCTGAGCACTTGTTTTCTTGGACTGTGGATGCCACCGTGTGAGGATGAAAGAAAAACAGGCCAAGTCAACCAGATGTCCTAGCTGACCTTCCATAAGAGGGCAGCATGAATGAGCCTTAGGGAGCCATCCCTGAGAATAGGGAAGCCTCTGAGATTGAGAGAGATTTGTCACATGAAAGTAGAAAAGCTCTGATAATCCCAACCTCTTCCCTCTACAAAGGGATGGCAGCTGCTTCCCCAAGTGTTTACCTGTGATCTCCAAATACCCACTCTGCTTTTTTAGCCCTCCAACATGCTTAGCAGTTTTCCCCATATTCTGTTAAATCAGCAAGTGTAATTTCTGTCTCCTTCACTGGACCCTGATGGATCCTGCAATTTTGAAGATAAAACAGCCAAAGGTCCATGGGGACCTCATTGGACTCCAGAGCCCTTGACATATTTTATATTAACACTATTATTCTACAGCAACTGATAATCTATAGCAGATTATTATGATGGCAGTTATTTGAAGTTGATATCACCATTGGAAGGGCCAACATCCTGAAGCCTCCTGCTCATGAACCAGCAGAGGGAGCACAGTCCCTAAGGAGCTAGTCACCTTCCACTGACCCAGCAGGGAATAAATACAAGGAATATCCATCTTGAAGGATGGTGAAAAGGTTTGGGCAGATAGGTCATCGTAGGCAATGGCAGCTTCCTTGAGGGGAAGGGACAAGAAGCCAGGTAATTTGGATCAAGCTTCAGAAAATGTGCTAATATAATTTTAAAATAAACTGGACCCACCTATTGGAAGCAGATTGTCCCTCAAAAGGAATTCAGGATCCCATCCTGTCCTCCTCCCACTCTATTCCTGATTCTATCCCAAGGTTAATGGGTTTTTCTCTCTAGCGGGGCACATTTCCCAGGGGACAGAATTACCATGTAAGGGGGATCTGGGACATGGGTGTGGCTCTCCTTCCAAACTCATTGCCGCATGGCAGGAGTATTAGAGGGCAGGCCTGTTCTCTCTCTGGAGAACATTGGGTCACCCTGCCTTTCCCCTTCCCTTCCTCTCAGACCCGAGCCAACTCTGCACTTGGCTCTAGGCACTCTCTTGTTGGGGAACAGGTACTGGCAATGGAACTAGGGCCTCCTGCATGCTAGACAAGCACCCTTCTACTGAGCTACTTCCCCAGTCCTTTAGAGGCTGTTGTGTTCTTACTCTTTGTGAACATTCTCACTGAGGATGTCAGGTCTGTGTGAAATGGACGTTTTCTCCCCTATCATAATGGCAAAATCAGAAATCCAAGTCTGAGAACCAGGAGAGTAAACACTGGACCCTGGAACTTAGACAGGCCTGGAAGCTGAACTCGGGTAAAAACACCCACTGGACCTGCCCAGCTTCCCTGCTTTTTCTGCACCAAGGTTTGAAGGGAATCTTCAGTAACCTCTTGATCTTCCATTTGTTACAGGGCTGGGGACTCTGGGAAACTGAGGCATCATGATGCCCTATCCCCTTTGAACTTAAATTCTTGCTATTATCAGAAAGATTTCAGACATGTCTCTTAGAGTAATAAGCATGAGTTTCTTAAAGGGATAGGAAAAGGGAAAGGGGATGCTCTCAAGGGAGACAGTGGGGTCCTCTTAGAAAGGAGAGGGATAGCATGCCTCTCATGCACTCTAGTTTAATTGGGGATACCAGAGAAGTTTTCTGAAAATCCCTCCCAGGTTCACCTTTTGACTTTCTACTGACAGCAGGATGAGATCAGACTTTCAATTCCCCACTGCCATGACAACTCTAGGTTACTTTGGCCCATACTAACTGGTTCTAATTGTATTCTTAACCATTAATTCTTACAGATTTTGTGGTTAGAAGGAATTATCCTTATCTCCTTTGGGGATCTGGTCTGTGAAAAGGGTCACAAAAGTCCGTCCTTTCAGGTAATTTGGCTTCCTCTTATTGATATTATTTTGAGCCTGAATTTCTCCTGCAGATAACAGGCTGTTTGTTGGGGAATCCTGTCCACTTAAACCAGGCAGTGCTGCAGGTAAATTGCTTCTTGGAAAAGAAAGCATGAGAGGGTCAGCACAGTGGGCCTGTTTTATGGAATTATTCCCTTAGCCTCCTGTACCCACCACTCACATCTGTCTGTCCTTATCAAGTTACCTACCCTAGCCTCCTTTGTACCCTATACCTGTCACAGGAGAAGTGATGTTTCTGAAGAAGGGTCCAAAGAGTTCCAGAAAAGAAGTGGGAACTTGACTCAGAACCAGTAGGGTTCTTGGCATATGTGAAGGAAAAGCATTTGGCACATGCCAGTCAAAGGCACGGGCAGAGGTTTAGGAAAGTAGATACATATTCAAGGGAGAATGGGGGCAATCTCAAGAATGCCTTTGGGGTAAAGCAAGGAATACTCATTCAAGAGAGAACATGGATCATGTCCCAAGGAAGAGATAGCAACCCATTGGTGGGTGGGCCTAATATTTATAGAGGGATGGTTGCCAGGGGCTGGACTAGAGGCAGAGCCAGGGTGGAATTACATGATTCCAAGCCAGTTTCCCTGCACTCACAGGCACTGCCTTCGTGTTGCTTTTGCAGACAAGGGCATGTTGCTCAGGAGTTGCAGTTGCCCATGGGTGCTCACTGCATTTTGATGGTTCATGGGTGTTTCCTACATTTCAATGGTTCATGGGCACTCCCTCTGAGATTTAGTATCTCCCTTTATTCCCAAATTCCTACCTCATACCTGCTTTGAATCTAGGTCCAGGAAGAATTGATAGGCCAAAGGTAGAAACTGGACATTTCTGATTTCCCTAGCCAAAATGCGTTTTAAATTATGTAACATATAACTCATACTAAAGAATATACATAATAAAATGGATACTTAGGAACACTACACCCAGCTTAAGAATGTGTGCATCACCCACACCTGGATTTGTACCTCCACATATTACCAGCTCCCAAGCCAGGATCCAGGCTGGCCAGGACTCAACACCCTACCCCTGCAATATGAAATGGGTTATAAAAAGGAAAAATGAACTTTGTCCAATTTAATCAAACTGGTGAGAAGCAGCTAGGTTGTTTCTCCACCCCATTTATGGAAACCAGAGCCAGGTGATTGATTGATTGATTGATTGATAGATAGATAGATAGATAGATTTAGCTAGGCTGTGGTAGCCAGACCACATGTCAGTTTCAGCTTCCTTGGTGCCTCAGGACCTGGCAGGGCTTTCTGGGTTTTCATTCTCAGCGTAAGGAAATTTGGGATGCAGAAAATCACTATTATGATTTGAATGTGAGGTGTCCCCCCCAAAAAAAGCTCCTGTGTTAATACAGGAAAGTTCAGAGGTAAAGTGATTGAATTGTGAGATCTGTAACCTAATCAGCCCATCCTAATTTGAATGACTGGGTGGTAACTGTAGGCAGATAGGGCATGGTGAGAGGAGGTGGGGGTGGTCAATGCTCTGAAAGGTGCACCTGCCCTCAGGGTACACCACTCCTTTCCAGACCCCTACTGATCTGGGTGAGCTGAGCAGCTTCTCTCCAAGTGTTGTGCTGTCCCATCTTGGGCCCATATCAATGGAGTTGGCTGCTGTCCATGGACTGAAACCTCTGAAACCATGAGCCCCAAATAAACTTTTCCTTCTAAGTTGTTCTTGTCCTGTATCTTGGTCACACAGTGATGCAAAAGCTGACTTAAACAAGCACTGTTCAGGAAGCTGCTTTTAGTTTTAAAGGGACTCTGATTCATATGCACCTTGTCCTCCAGTTTGCTTCCCCTCTGAAGGTAAGTTACAAGAGGCTGAATTTGTGGTTCTACTCAAAAAATACTAATTTTAAAAAGAGCCTCTGAGCTGGGGTTGTAGCTCGGTGGTAGAGCACTTGCCTAGCATGTGTGAGGTACTAGGTTCAATCCTCAGCACCACATAAAAAATAAATAAACAAAAAAGGGTCTCTGTCCTTAGTGGCACACATAGGGCAACTCAATTGTTTTTCATGTGGAATCCTCTAAAAAGTTTTCAGAAGTATAATTCTTTAGTTATTTAGCATCTGATGATTATTGGCCTGGCACCCTTTAAAAAATTATAAAAAACAAATTTATCACCATGTATTTATCCTTTCACATGAATACTTTTTAAAAGTTCAGGCCCTCAATTTGGATTTGTCTTATTGTCTCCTCACAATTATATTCAGGTTAAATATTTTGGTAGGACTAATGTGTAGGGGGTGTTGTATCATCAATGTGTCACATCAGAAGAGACCTGGTATTGGATTGTCCCTTTGTTGGTGTTAAGACTGATTGCTAGTTTAAAATAATGTTGTCTGGATTTCCTTTTTGGAAAGATACCTTTTACCCTTTGCAATTCATAAATGATCTCTGAGATAATCTTTCAAATCCATTCAAAAGTCTATTATCCAACATTCTTTCACTGATGGTTTTAGTATTTATGAGTCTTGCTATAGTGTTACATCAATCATTACTATAGTGTTACAAAAACACTCTTTTTTGGCCAATCCTTCTGCTTCCCCAATGATTTGAAGTAATATTCTTTTATTCCTAGCTAATAACCACGAGACAATCAAAAAACTAATTTTTAAATTTTGCTTTCATTCTTTATTTTCTCTTGAAGTCATGTTCTGCCCTTTTTCTACCTTCTATTCTTTGTCATGAGAATCCACCTGTCAATTTCATTATCATCTCAAGAAACTGACTTTTCTCAAGAAATAAAAGCTAGATTTTAAAAGAATTGATACTTTAAAAATGAAAAATATGGGCTGGGGTTGTGGCTCAGTGGTAGAGCGCCTGCCTAGCATGTGTGAGGCACTGGGATTGATTCTCACCACCTCACATAAATAAAGTTCCATCATCAACTAAAATTTTTTAAATGAAAAATATAATCGTTTAAACAAATATAATAAATTAAACCTAAAATTGAAGAAGGCATTGAGGAAATGTGTAAGCTGGAAGGTGAATCTGAAGAAATTACCCAACATGAACACAGAGGAGAAGAGGAAGAAAAGGGGAAAGCAGTCTGGGGAAAGAATAAAATAATCTAACATACATCAAATTGAAGCCCATCAGAGAACAGCAAGAAAGAACAAGAAGCAGTATAGTCAGAGGGTAAGGACTGGGAATTTTTTAAAAAATTGAAAAACCTGACATAGTAGAGATAGGTATATTCATTTGCTAGTACTATCCTAACAAAGTATCTCAGGGTAGAGGCTAGAAGTCTGAGGTCAAGGTGTCAACAGGACTGATTTATCTTAAAGTCTCTCTATAGCTTACAGATGGTCTTCTCTCTGTTTGTTTGTGTCCTAACCTCACCTTTTCAAGGACACCAGTTATGTCGGATTAAGATTCACCCTACTGGGCTGGGCTGTGGCTCAGCGGTAGAGCGCTCCTCTAGCACATATGAGGCCCTGGTTTCGATCCTCAGCACCACATAAAGATAAATAAATAAAGGTATTATGTCCAACTACAACTAAAAAAAAAAAAAAGACTCACCCTACTGCAGGGTGTGGTGGTGCATGCCCATAATCCCAGTAGCTCAAGAGGCTGAGACAGGAGGATAGTAAATTCAAGGTCAGCCTCAGCAATTTAGCAAGGCCCTAAGCAAGTTAGTGAGACCCTATCTCAAAAGATAATAATGGCTGGGGATAGCTCTGTGGTAAATTGCCACAGGATCCCCTCAAAAACATTATCCTACTAAACTTCGTTTAAGGCAATCATCTCTTTAAAGACCTTGTCTCCAAATACTGTCTCCAAATACAGTCACATTCTGAGACACTGGGGATTAGGGCTTTGACGTATGAATTGGTAGAGAAACACAATGATCCAAGACAATACAAACCACAATATATAGTAGTTATGATGTGTAGAAAGAAATCCAGAAATCCACAACTCAACACCAGATAGTGGAATTGCAAACCACGGAGACAAATAGAAGGCCTTAAAAGCAACCAGAGAGAAACACCACAGCCCTGTTAACAGACAAATGGTTCTTACCACCTGTATTTCAAATGTTTAGGCTGGCATTATGAAGAAAACAGCCTTTCACTCCACCTAGCTTGGGCCACTACTGTCGCCTGAACCCTCCATGCATACTCAAAACCAGCCTTGAAAAGCTGTCCCGCTCAGCTCCAGGCCTGTCTCTCCAAGAGATCTTGCCTGGAGGTTTGCCTTCTCTGAACTTACATAGCACTTGTTTAGTCCCAAACCTGTGATGTGTGGGACTTTTCTGTTCACCACCAGCAGAGAGTTGCTGGCCAAGATCATTAGTCAGAGCCAGGCCTTACAGATCTCTCCCATACAGACTCAAAACTCAAAGTCCATTTGAGTTATAGCAACTAAAGCAGATATGGGGGGCTGGGGATGTAGCTCAGCAGTAGAGTGCGATGTAGCATGCGTGAGGTCCAGTGTTTAATCCCCACTATGGGGATGAGAGGGAAGCAGATGTTTGTTGTAGGGACCTAACTCTGCAAAAGGGGTCTGGGTAGAGTGTTTGCGTGGAAGATGGGATCAGCCTGCATTCCTAGCAGGGGAAAGGGAAGTTGGCATAGAAGGTGTACATTCACAGCTGTGTCTAGGGTCCCGAAGGCAGGTGTCTGGCATGCTAACAAAGTTGTCACTGCTTCTTCTGACTCCCGTGCCCGCACTCACCATTGCCTGAAGCCCGGCATCTTTTCATTTGCCTCATGTCCCCATAAGGCAAGTGTCTTAATGTGGCCTATGCCTCCTACTACACCAGACACTTGTCCCTGTGCTGGGCAAGTGCTCAGTAGATACCTGAGCATCGGTTGGAGATCCCTGGAGGTCTTTGTGTTCTGAAGACTATGGTGGGCTCTGACCTGCTGGAGGGAATCTATAACCATGTTCTGCTTCTATGGCTGCTGCCTCCACCAGCATCATCTCTTGCAAGGGGCACTGCAGGCTCCTTCTTTGTTGGTCTCCCTTAATACATTCTGCTCTCAGTAGTCAAGTGGTCTTTTTGAAAAGATAAGAATCAGACTATTGCATTGTTTCCTTAAACTCTTCTATGGCCTCCCATAGAATTTTAAACAAAATCCAACCCAATGGTGGTCTATACACCCTGCAAGACACGGCCCCCGTTGGCTTTGATTCTGTTCCTCTGTTTCTCACTTTGCTCCACATGGGTATTTTTCATTTCACCTAGTATGATGGCTCATCCCCACCAAAGGCTTTGCCCTTGTTCTTCTTTTTGCCTAAAATGGTCTTTTTCAGCTCTTCCTGGAGCTGAGCCCTTCTCATCTTCCACTTAGCTCAGGTCCTACCCTCAGACTGGAAACAAATGCTACAGTTTGAAAATGGTTTGAGTGTGTCCCTCAAAGGCTCATGTGCAGGGAGCTGGGTCCTCAGTGTAGTGGTGTTGATGAGATGGGAACTTTAAGAGGTGGGGCTTAGTGGAAGGTAATTAAGTCGTTGGACTCTACCTTCTGAAGGGATTATTGCACATCTTGTGGGACTGGATTTGTTCTCGAAAGAATGGATTGCGATGGGAAAAGAGTGAGCCTGGTCTCTCACCAGTCTCTTGCTTTCTAACTATGTAAATTCTCCCTCTTATACATACTTCCACCGTGATGCCATCCACCATGAAGCCTTCACCAGAGCCAAGTATATGCCAATGCCATGTTCTTGAATCTCTAGAGTTGTGAGTCAATAAAATAAAACTTTTTCTCCATAAAATACCCAGCTTCTGGTATTTTGTTATAGCAGTAGAAAATGGACAAATACAATGGATTCCCCTCAGTATTCTCTTTCTCATCACCCTATTTATTTCTTTTTTATGTTAATTAAAAGTTCCATTTCATTTACTTCCTTATTTATGTCAGCCTCCCCCTGAACTAGAATCTAAACTCACTGAGGGCAGAGATCCAATCTCATCCTGTTGCCCTCTGTATCTCTAGCTCTCAGCAGTATATCTGAAGTATTCATTAGGCTTCATAATTAGTGATGGAAGACATGCCAGGTGCTCTCTTAGTATCCTGGACCCTGTTGTAGCACAACTCTTTTCTTATATTCCAAGGGACTCCAAAGCTCTGCATATTTACCAGAGTTGCATCTCTTATGTGGTCCAGCTCAGTGCCCAACCCTCAATCTACAATCAGGAGCCAAAAGGAATTGAAATGCAGGGTTAGCAACAGTTTACCTCCATAAATTCGGCTTCCTGTTGCTACTGATATTAACTCTGGTTTCAGGCGCTTCCACTTCAATTAATACTTGGCACATTTCAAAATACCTCTGAACAGCAGGACACTGATTGAATTTGAGGTGTAGGGAAGCCAAATTGAAAATAAATAGTAAAACCACTGGTCCTTTTATATTGTAGTTAAAAGCTTGAACAAATGACTATCACGCTTCCTTTAATGCTCTGTTCTCTTCCAAATAAATCTGGAGTAATATAGCAACTTGCACTGTTTTTACCTTGCCCTATTAGGCATGTCCAGTCTGGCCCATAATGCTCTTAATTTGTGGTTCCAGTTTGTCTCTCAGCAGCATTGTTTGTACATAACGTGGGTCAAGTTTATAGGATTTGCAAATGTTGAAAATATATTTGAATAAAAAAAATGTGTTTGAATTATTAAATGGTTGTTTGCAAGAATTTCCAAGTATAAAACCTCTGAATAAATATGTAATTATATATCCAAAATTTTCATTTGTGGTCATGTAAACTATGATATACCATTCAATGAAATACTGCCAGGTTATTCAAAAAGAGTGTGGAGAATAAATATGCATTAATTTGAAAACATGCTCAAGATAATTACAAAGCAAAAACTACAAATTGAAGAGCATTAAACATAATATCTCTCTGTGTGCCTGTGTGTACAGGTTTTTCTTATTATAAGTGTGGAATCTTTCTGGAAAGAGACACTTGGTCATCTCTGGAAGTTGAACAGCTATGATGATACTTGGTACAATACGTCAGGTAGTTGTTTTCTGCCAAGCTTGCATCAAACACTTCTCCTATGCCTCCATTTCATCTCCACAATAACTCTACAAGGAAGGTGTTACTATTGTCTCTTGTTTACAGATTAGGACATTGAGGCCAGGAGA